CTCAAAAATGAAACTAAAAATCATCCTTGTCTTGTTCACACCATATATTCCATACTTGTAAAGGTAAAGTGTTGTTACCTTTAAAAGTTTATGTATTTTTTGAGCAAGGGGACCAAACACCAATGAAAACAGATGGCCCAGGTGATCCAGTCTCTCAGAATGCCTCTGTTACAGTCTCCTCAGAATTCTGCATCCAAAACAGCTTCAAGGCTGCTGACTGAGATGGTCCAGCCTCATAAAACATTCTAGCCAAGACCTAACAATTATCCCGATTTTCTCAAGGTTGTCCTAAAGATACCAGTGCCCACAGACAATAGGAGGTAGTCTAGAGGTCGATGCCCACATACCCAAATATTGGTTATGAGTGTTTATTATCATTTAAGGGGGGTTGGTTACAAGTTGTTATTGGTAATGGTTGAGGAAAAAACCCATTAACAGAAGAGATTAGATTCAGGGGTCTCGTTCTGAAAAGAAAAAACAGGGGTATAGAAATGATAGAATAAAAGGGCAAAATATTGAGTATACTTTTATACCAAACAGCAACTACTAGTGTTTAATATTTTACATTGGTTATGTGTGGAGGCCCATAGAGATGGCTCTGTTCCATCTTGACATAAGGTCAGAGAGTTCAAGCCTATTAGTATTTCTTCAAGGTTAAATCCACAGTTTGTTTGGCCTAAAGTATGGCTATTGTGCGCCTTGATAGCAGGATATTTGGCCTAAAGTGTAGCTAATGAATGTCTCACCTTGACAACAGGATATTTGGTCTAGGGTGTGGTTACTTGATGTTTTTGGTATTGAAAAGGTAATTATGCTTGCTTGTTCTTTGTGTCTTAGCAAGGAAGTCTTTTGCCTTCCCTCTTTTGATTTGGATATAAGAGTTTTGAGTAATAAACTTGGGGTTAATTCTGGTATTTACTGGATGCCATCCCAACTCTGTCTCTAACTTGTTTCTTTAATTCACACTTCTCCTTTCAAGCATGGATCAGACAGATGGACCCTCAATGTGGGATGGATTTTGGTTTATTGATACAAATTTAAAGTTATTTTTACTATACTATATGTATGTTTCTACTCTTGTTTGGGGTGTTGTGCTTATTCAATGCTCTAAAGAATAATTTGAAAATATAGGTTAGTAGTTAGTCATTTATAATAATCAAATGTGTGATGCTGCAATGATAAACGGTACACTGAAAGTAAAACTAAGTATTTATTGTAGAAATTACTCACAAGAGACCAAACAAGTAACCCAGATGAGCCGAATAGTTTTCTGCCACCGAACTGGAAGCCGAAAGCTGGAAAAAGAGACTGAGACTTCCATTGTTCAGTCTTTTATACCTTCCTCCGTAATGCCCCTAGCCATGACCAAAAGTGGGCCTGGCTAGTGACGTAGTTCACTGCCTACGTCCGTATACATCTTTAGTCATGCCTAAAGTGGGTGTGTTTAGCGGTGTGGTAAGCTGCCCTTTTATTACCTCATCTGTATGCGCCTCTAGTAAGTCACATGGTTAATGACAGCATTGTTTTCCTCCTACAAACGTATAGTCATATTAGGTATGTTAAACAAATGTATTTAGATAGATGGTCTTCAAACACTTCAAAGACCTACATAATATGGCATTTAAAATGTTTTAATGCCATAGGACTTTTCTTGACAGTGAGATGCCTGTGCATATGACAGCACCCATTTACTTTAAAAGATGATGATGGGCATCGAAGAACCTCTGGATGGAGTTTACTTTCTTTATGGTAAAAGCTAATCATTTGGACAAAGAAACTGCTCTTGCCTCAATTGCTGATAGTATACTGTCCAAACTGAGCCAGCAGGATGAAAAAAGAAGTGACTGCCAAACTTTGTCAAGACAAGGTGGGAAAATCCTTCAAAATTCTCTGGTTCTCAGAAATGTCTGTCAGATATACCAGGCCTGTAGGCTGAAGTTGGATACACCAATGTTATAGAAGAACCTAGGGCCAGATGTTCCTGTCACTAGGTAACATTTCATACTCCTGGGATCTTTGATGGAATTAAAAGCTATAATAATAGACTTATAATAATAATTAGACTCAAAGTTTTCCTTAGTTATGATAAAAAGGTAAATTAGATATGAAACTTTGGACTCACAAAGACAGATAATAGAATAGAATACAAATGGACCGGATATTGTAACAGTAATTCTTACTTGATAATTGTTTTGTTGTATATAATTTTACTATGTTAAAAGTTAAAACTTTTATTTTTTATTTAGACAAAAAGGGGAATTCTGTGGAATAATCTTTCTGTATACTATAAATTATTCTGTGATTGGTTTAATAGGAAAGCTGACTGGTCAATAGCTGGACAGGATTAGGTTATGCAGGAAAACCAGCCTAAACACATGAAGGAGAAGTCAGAGGAGTTCCCATTGAGACATGAAGAGGTGTTAAGATCAAAGAGAGCCGGGTGGTGGTGGCGCACGCCTTTAATCCCAGCACTCGGGAGGCAGAGGCAGGCGGATTTCTGTGAGTTCGAGGACAGGCTGGACCGACAGCCTCCAAAAACAATACAGAGAAACCCTGTCTCATAAAAACAAAACAAAACAAAACAAAAAGATGAAAGAGAGACAGCACTACGTGGCAGAATGTAGATTAATAGAAATGGGTTAATTTAAGTTGTAAGAGCTGGCTAGTAATAAGCCTGACCTATCAGCTGAGTGTTTCTTTTAATAATTTATTTAACTTTATGTGTATGGGTATGAAGGTATCAGATCCCCTGGACTGGGATTACAGACAGTTGTGAGCTGCCATGTGGTTGCTGGGAATTTAACCCAGGTCCCCTGGAACTTCAGCCAGTGCTCTTAACTGCTGAGCCATCTCTCCTGCCCCTTGGCTGAGCATTTATAATTAATATTGAATCTCCATGTCAGTTAATTGAGAACTGGCAGTGGGAAAAGAGATTTATTTCACATGACTACATTGGGAAGGGAACAAATAAATATGTTCAGTGCCTACCCCCTTCCATCTGTCTAGTACTGAGAGTTTTAAATGAAAGGAAAGAGGTATATGCATGCATAATTAAACAGTGCTAACCAGGGCCTGGTCCCTTTCGTCAGTGACCCATCGTTATCTGGGCTCCAGTGTGTCTCCAAGGTGGTCTGATAAGTTATCAGAAGCTTCTCCTGGGAGACAAGTTCATCATCTGGATGGAATCAGGCCTCAGTCTTTCCTCCCCCCCCCAGCGTGGGATTCCTGGGGACATTTAATTCTTTGGAGCCCCTTTTTACATTAGTCTAATAGCCAAAGGGAGGGGCACAAATATCTCTTTAGAGTGGTGGTTCTCAGCTCCCCTAATGCTGTGACCCTTTACTACAGTTCCTTGTGGTGTGATGACTACCAACCATAAATTTTCTTTTTTTTAAAGTTTCATTTATTATGCATACAGTGTTCTGTCTACATATATCCCTGTAGGCGCCAGACCTTATTACAGATGGCTATGAGCTATCACGTGGTTGCTGGGAATTAAACTCAGGACCTCTGGAAGAGCAGCTATTGTTCTTAACCACTGAGCCATCTCTCCAGCCCTCATAAAATTATTTTTGTTGCTATTTCATAACTGTAATTTTGCTACTGTTATGAACCAAGGTTAAATATCTGATATGCAGGATATCTGGAAATCCACCTACAGTAGGTTTATTTAATATAAGCAAAAGAAACATGTCCAAGATAAGCTTAAGCAAAAAGGTGGGCTTGTTGGATTGATAGTAGGAGCTCATTGAACCCTAGAGAACTTCAGGAATTAAGCCAGGCCCAAGCTCAGGGAAAAGAATAAGAACATCTAAATACCACCTTTATCCTCTCTTCTAATACTCTGGTAAGAAATCAGGTCTTTTCAGCTGAGCAGTCAAAAATAGAGTTTCTCTCCCAGCTATACTAAAAACAAGCAAGAAGGCAAACGAACAAATAAAAAATCCCTACCCCCCAAACCAATCAAACAAAAGCTGTTAGAACTCTGACTTGAGGAACTAGGTAACATGTGAGCCACTAAAAATATCAGTGAACTATGATGACACTCTGCCTTATGACCCTGTGGTTGGCACAGCAGGGATTATTGTGGGAGAGAAGAGGTGGGTGTAGTGATTTGAATGAGAATGGTCTCAGAGGTTCATACAGTTGGACATCTGGTTCTCAGTTGGTGAAATGTTCAGGAAGGATTAGGAGGTGTGGCCTCATTGGCGGAGATGCACCACTGTGGGTGGGGTGGTCTTTGAGGAGAATAAACAGTGACAGAGAGAGGGGTGAGGTGGGGAGGCAGTTGAGAGGAAATCTTGGAGTAATGCCTTCTCATGCAGTGCCATGAAAAGCACAATGAAATGACACGTTAGTTGAAGGTGTAATTACAGCTGAGAAGGGTGTGTGTATGTGTGTGTGTGTATGTGTGTGTGATCAGTCCAACTATTTTCAGTTTCTGCTCATCTTTTGCTTTGTAAGCTTCCAATAAGTGACCTTATTTGTAATAAATTTGCATATTCTTAGTTGCCTATTATGTCTTTAGGCATTCCCAAATGTCCAACCTGTGGGAGCTCACAGAAATGTTTGTGTATCTACTTTAAAATTTTTACTTTAAAGCCCTCTGAATTCTACAATACCCTTTCTATAGCAATGGTATAAGGCCAAAGAACCAGGAAGCCAGCATTTTCCATTCAGCTTTGCTACTACAAATTATATACTACTGTCAACCAACTTCAGCTTTTATTCCTCTGCATCTGAAGTGGTTGGGCTAGTTATTCTAATTGTTTGAGTGGTGACTTCTTGGAAACAAACTGATTCCCATGGCTTCAAACTTCATGTAAGAGTTCCAGTCAAGTGGTAATGTTTAAAATGGGTTTGGGCCATATTAAGGTTGCAAACAGTAGGAAGCAAAACTTAGTGATTTCAGACACATACATTCCAAAAAAACCTTAGCAAGATCATATAATTTCTAAATGGCTACATATGTTATATATAGTTTTACAAAAAGCCTGTAATCAAATACAAAAACAGTGGCTTTTATTTTTTTAAAAAATCTAATAGCACAGTTTTATCCATAAGCATCGTACAAAAACATAATTACATTCTCAAACTTTGAGAATCCTGATACTGGATTGGAGCAGCATTTTAAACAAAGCCTCCTATCCATCCCACAATTTTAGGTTTTCTACAGTTTATTTCGTGTATGAATTCTCTGGTGTTTAGTAAGAGCTGAGCTCCTACTGAAGTTTTTCCCACATTCCTTGCAAGCATAGGGTTTTTCTCCAGTATGAATTCTCTGATGATCATGCAGGTTGGTTTTCTTCCTAAAGGCACGCCCACATTCATTACATTCATAGGGTTTCTCTCCAGTATGAGTTCTTTCATGCTGAATAAGGGATGAACTTTGACTGAAGGCTTTCCCACAGTCAATACATTCATATGGTTTCTCTCCAGTGTGAGTTCTCTCGTGTTGGGTAAGTGATGATCGTCGACTGAAGGCTTCTCCACATTCATTACATTCATAAGGTTTTTCTCCAGTATGAATTCTATGATGTTCTATAAAACTTGTACTCCTTTTAAAAGCTTTTCCACATACATTACATTGATAGGGTTTCTCTCTAGGATGGGACACCGGCTGCTGACTAAAGGCCTGCTCAGAGTCAAAGGAATTTTCTCCAGCATGGATCCTCTGATGGTCAGTGAAATCTGTAATGTGACTGAAGCCTTCTCCACAGTCATTACAACAGTATGATTTTACTTCAGTAAGTGTATTTTCACCTTGAATAAGAGATGTGTTAGGCTCAAAAGCCATGCTGAAGTTACTGCTTTGGTAAGGTTTGCCTCTTTTATGAATCCTCATATGCTTATAAAGGGATGGGCTCTGACCAAAAGCCCTCCCACATATGCTACATTCAAAAGGTTTCTCTCCGGTATGAGTCCTCTCATGTTGGACAAGAGAAGAACATCTACTGAAGGCTTTCCCACATTCCTTACATTGGAAGGGTTTCTCTCCACTATGAGTGACCTCATGTTGAGTGAGGGATGTACCATGCCTGAATGACCTCCCACAGAGATTACATCGGTAGGGTTTTTCTCCAGTGTGAATTCTTTGGTGTTGAACAAGAGAGGAACTGCGCTGAAAAGCTTTCCCACAGAGACTACACTGGTAGGGTTTCTCTCCTGTATGTGCATTTTCATGCTGACCTAAGGATGAGCTGTGCCTGAAGGCTTTTCCACATACATTACACTCAAAGGGTTTTTCCCCAGTGTGAATTCTCTGGTGTTCAGTAAGCTGTGTTTTCCAGAGGAAGGTTTTCCCACAGTCAGTACATTCATGATGTTTCCTTCCAGAATAAATTCCTTGGTCTGTACCATTGGGATAATCATCATCTTTATGAATCTTCTCATGTTTATTAAGTGATGATCTGTGAATAAATGATTTCCTACATTTATCACATTTATAAGGCTTCTTTTTTGCAGGGATACTACTCCGAGTAACTAATTCTGAGTTATAGTCCAAATTATTTCCAAGTGTTTCACATTCACTGGGCCTTAGACTTGAAGGAATGTCTAGTTGTGGAACCAAGTCTGTGCTCAATCTAGAGTCTTCATCAAATTTGTTTTGCTCAAAATTTTTCTCAAGAGTGGTTATTTTTTTCTGGGAAGATGCCTCTGGCCCCAGATGTCTCTTCCAACTTTCCTGGTGCCTCTGAATACTGACGTCCCAGATATCTCCTAATGTGAAATATGACAGAACATTTGTACTATGGGATACTTCAGATTTGCCATGCTGAAGACTCGATGATATGGTGTCAGGCCTGGTCTTCCAGTCTGAAAGAAATACAAAGTGCAAAAGTTCCCAAGTTCCTTCCAGTTCATACAAAATGCTACAGCACAGATGAGAAAATGAAATATAAATTATTCACAACTATTTTGAAATAAATCCTTTGGTCTGTGGAGAAGTCTTACACTGCAGTAAAGAAAGAGTGAGGTGCCAGTGAATATTACAAATCCAGAGTGCCTGTCATGTCCAGAGAATGAGGAAAGCCCATGTAAGTGGGGTGAGTTTGACAGGAAACAAAAGAGTAAAGGAGCCTAAGTGTGCAAGGTACAGACACAAGCAAAATAGAATCACATTCTGTCTTGCAGATTTCCATGTTTCCTGTCCATTTTGTGGGTCTAAACAAAAAAATCTACCCTTTTAATGCATTAATTTTATAATTTATTTAAAGTTGATTTTGTAATTTCTTTACAATCACCTATTAGACAGAAGGTTTATAAACAGTGCAGAGAAAAATCTCTGGGCAAGGATCTACTGAAAAGATTCTTTAACATACTTGGGCCACGCACTATACTAAAACTGGAGAAAAAATAATCTTTCAGAAAGCAAGTTATTTTTGCTCTTACAACTAGGAATAATTTTAGTCTATCTGAGCTATGATTCTATAGCAATCATCTCTCTTTTTTGTATGTTTTTAATGTGCATAATGTATGTATGTATTTTTGAAATCACATTTATTGCTAGGCAAACCTTTAATCCCCAGCACTTGGGAGGCAACGGCAGGAGGATCTTTGTGAGTTTGAGGCTAGCTTGGTCTACATAACAAGTTCCAATAAAATAAAATAAAAAATAAAATAAAATAGCATTCATTCTCTCTCTCTCTCTCTCTCTCTCTCTCTCTCTCTGTGTGTGTGTGTGTGCATGTTTGCATATGTATAGTGGTCAGAGGAAAAGATGAAGGAGTAAATTCTCTCCTTCCACTAGTGTGGGTCTCAGGAATCAAATTCGCCTGATCAGACTGGGCAGGAAGAGTTTCACCTGCTGAGCCATCTCATTGGCCTATTTAGTTTTTGACACAGGGCCCTCAGTGGACCTGGAGCTCACTGATCAGCCAGACTGGCTGGCCTATAAGCTCCAGGGATCCATCTATTTCTCCCTTCCCACCTACACCAGTGCTGGGGTTACAGATCTAAAATGAGGTTCTCATGCTTGAAAGCAGTCACTTTACTAACTGAGCCATCTCCCCAGTCCCCAATCACCTCTCTCTTTAATTTTTAAAAACCATTTAAAAGATTTATTCATTTTATTTTATGTGTATGGGAGGATTTTTTTCCGAGACAGGTTTTCTCTGTATTGTTTTGGAGTCTGTCCTGGAACTCACTCTGTAGACCAGGCTGGTCTCCAACTCACAGATATCCACCTGCCTCTGCCTCCCTAGTGCTGGGATTAAAGGCGTGCGCCACCAACGCCCGGCTCTGTGTATGGGAGTTTTATCTGCATGTATGTACACTGTGTGTGCCTGGTGCCCACTGAGGTCAGAAGAGGGCATCAGATTCCCTATAGCTAGAGTTATAGAGTTATGAGCCACCATGTAGGTGCTGGGAACTGAACCTGGGTCCCTTGCAACAGCAACTGCTCTAATTGCTGAGCCATATCCCCAGATCTCCAATCACCTCTCTTGACCAAGGATTTACTTCAATCAACAGATGTATTGTATTCCTAAGTATGTTTTAACCACAGAATTGTAATACTACATAACACATTAATTTTTAGGTTCTAAGAATGGTAAGCTTTAGAGCTGGGGAGTAGGCTCAGGGTTTAAGAGCACTTGTTGTTCTTAGACAATACCAGGTTAGATTTCCAATACTCACATGGAAACTCATAACTATCTGTAACTCCAGTCCCAGAGGATCCAATGCCCTCTTTTCTGAGCTCGATAGGCATCAGGTATGCATATACATACATGCAGGCAAAAAACTCATGCACATAAAATAGCAAATCTTAAAAAATGGTTACCTTTAAAAACTAAGGGAAATGCCAGGCATGGTCACTTACATCTATAATTCCAGTACTTGGGAAACTGAGGCTGCATAGATCATGAGTTTGAGGCTAGAATGGATACATGTAGGGAGATCCTCTCTCAAAAACAAAAACAAGAAAGGAGGGAGGGGAACTGGGATTGGAATGTAAAAAGAAAATTTTTAAAAAAGAGGAAAAAAACCCCAAAATCAAAAACAAAAACAAGGCCATGTAGTGGTGGTGCACACCTTTGATCCCAGCACTTGGGAAGCAGAGGCAGGTGAAGCTCTGTGAGTTCAAGGCCAGCTTGATCTACAAATCGAGTTTTAGGACAGCCAGAAGTACACAAAGAAATCTTGTCTCAAACAACAAAAACAAAAATACTAGAGAGTATGGGTTGGAAGGGTGAACATAATAAACATGCCCTGAGATTTTTGTTTTCTTTTGTTTCTAGAGACATGATCTGACATTTAAAGAATTAATAGGTTAATTATTTAAAAATTGAACTCTGAGCTCAGGAATATAATTCAGTAATACAACACTTTTTTTTAAGAACTTGTGCAAAGCTTTGGATTTTATTCTTTTTGGAAGCATATATATGTGTATATATGTATATGCATATATTTCTTTTTTAAACTTTTTTATTAATTTTTTTACATTCTACTGGATTTTATCCTTAATATTTCAAAGGCAAAAAGAATAAAAAACTGAACTCTAGTTAATGATATGTATACTTATGTTTCCAACTTCCTTAAAAATGCATTAAATAGGTAATTTTTTTTTCTCTGAGACAAGGGTTTCTTTGAGTAGCCCTAGGTATCCTGGAACACAGAGATCTGCCTGCCTCTGTTTCCCAAGTGCTGGAACTAAAGGCGTGTACCACCACCGCCTGGCTAACATGTTTCTTTTTAAATACTGAAGGCAGTGTTGAGTCCTTTGGAATGTGTGCTTAGAACACAGTGCTGTGAGGCTAGGACCAAGATTCATCTTACACTGATCTCTGGTTTTTGGTTTTGCTTTGTTTTGGGATAGGGTCTCACCATGTGGACATGACAGGCCAGGAATTCACAGAGATCCACCTATGTCTGCCTTCTGGATGCTGGCATTAAAGGGATGTGGTAGGGCTAACTTCTCAAGATGGTATAAAGCTGGGTGTTGTGGTACATGCCGGTAACCCCAGCACTTGGGTATCTTTTCCCCAAAGACGTATTACCTGACTAGAGAAGAGATGGCATGCATTATGTCACCCAGAAATGGCTTCAGCTTCCTCTGCAGGTCGGATAGCTCCCATGCCTCTCCATAAGCTGTGCCACTGTCTACTCTGATTTCCATGAGCAGAATTCTTACTCATTTACCTGGACAGAAAGGTCTTTGGATTTCTCTCTCTGAGATCCATGGCTCTTCTCCTTGCTCCAATTTGAAGATCACCTCTGGCTTGGACACCTGATACCCTGCTCAAGGGTAAATGCACAAGATTTGGGTATTTGGGCAAGAAGACAAAGACCCTTCCTATAAGTCAGTACTAGTCCTTGATCCTCAGGAACTCTGAAGAGAAGTATAACTTACAGAGTTATGCTAGCAAATTCCCCTTTTCTAGGTCTGTAAAATGATCTTTCAGGCTCAAAACCCTGGAAAGCTGGCTCCCCAAAACATAGGCACCAGTCCTGGGCTTCCTCTCAGTTACCTAGGCTGCATCCACCAAACCTTAGCAACCGAGGAAGGAAAATTGGGCAACATGTGAGACAGCAGGGTACACAGTCCCTCCTTACCCAGAGATACCAGGTGGCTGTAGTTCTCCAGCATCACATCTCTGTATAAGCTCCTCTGGGCAGGGTCCACGTGGTGCCATTCTTCCTGGGTGAAGTCCACTGCCACATCTTTGAATGTCACTGACTCCTGTGGGATCACAACCCTGCTCAAGTAGGGACCAACTCCACAAATCTTCTCAGAGCCTGGGAACTGACCTTGGGATCATGTGTTTGCTGCTCAAGGGGGAAGTGTTTGGTTTTATATGCTGACTAAAAAGATTCTAGTGTGGCTTTTCCTGAGTCAAAGGGGAAATTGATCCCACAACCCTGCATATACAATTTTCTCTTTTCCTTTTCCACCTCTTTCTCCAGGGTCTTGTGTGGCCTTGGCTGCCTCAAATCAATAGATGGCTGAGGGTGACCCTGAATTCCTGATGCTTTTTCCTTTGCCTCCCATGGGCTAGGACCGCAGGCCTACACTACCACAGCCAGCTTACAACTTACATTCTCATTCATCTATCTTGCTGCTTTCCTTCCAAACCAACCTTTTATACAGTGGCTCATTCCTCACTGCTTTCTTTCCTTCCTTTGTTACAAATTCAAAGGTGGGGACATAGGAATGAATAAAAATGGCAGCCCTCACACTCCTAGTTCTCTTTATCCCCCATACAGTCATTCTCAACAGGGGGTGCATATACTTAGAAGTCCCCACCCATGTTTTACACACATACTGCAGGGACACTTTATGAAATATCACACATATTGCTTTACAAATTCTTTTCATGTATTTACTAATTCAAAAATATTTACTTATGTGTAATTGAGGGTATGCATGTGCACTATATTCATGCAGGAGCCCATGGAGGTCAGGAGAGGGCATCAGAGCCCCCTGAAACTATGTTACAGGCAGTTGTGAGCAGCCCTGTGGGTTTTGGAAACTGAACCTTCTTCTGCAAGAGCAGTAAATGCTCTTAACTGATGAACCACCTCTCCAGCCCCTACTCATTTACTAATTTTTGAGACAGATTCTCATGTATCCCAGGCTGATCTCAACTTTCTTTTTCCAAGACAGGGTTTCTCTGTATTGTATTTTGGAGGCTGTCCTGGAACTCGCTCTGTAGACCAGGCTGGCCTCGAACTCACAGAGATCTGCCTGCCTCTGCCTCCCGAGTGCTGGGATTAAAGGCGTATGCCACCAACGCCAGACTCCCAGGCTGATCTCAACTTCACTATGTAGTTGAGGTTGAACCTCTGATTCTTCTTTTTGTTTCTACTTCCTGAAAGTAGGACTACAGGCATGCACTACTACATTTGGTTTCTGTGGTGCTGGAATGGAAGCCAGGGCTTTGGTGCATGCTACCAATGGAGTCCATCTCCAGCTCTACAGTTAAGATTTTTACATTAGACTTTCTTGGAGGTCATCTCACACATTACTGTACCTTATTGTTCTGAACTATTTCAGAACCCCCACTGCAAGTTGTAGGTTATGGTACCCATTGGCTGAAACCAACAGCATCCCACTGTACTACAAATTCAAGTCCCCTCCCCCAAACAGTACTTAGAAGGCTATAGCTACACCTAATCTTGCTGATAACAAGGTTGAGTATCTCATTAGTATAAATATAAGTTATAACATTCTGGATATACTGGGTTAAATCATATGCATTACTAAGGTTGAATCTCATCTTAGTTTTTACATCATGGTTAAATGACAACACATTTCTTTTGGATGATTCTAAGAGATTTGTACATCCTTGTGTTCATAGATAAGCACTGAGGGAACCAGGAATGTTAAACATGCAGGGCTGTTGCTGGGCAGTGGTGGCGCACACCTTTAGTCCCAGCACTTGCAGGACGGCCAGGGCTACACAGAGAAACCCTGTCTACAATGCCATCCCCCCAAACAAACACCCCCCCAAAAAGCCCCAAAACCCACACAGTTGTGTCTTCCAAAGGAGAAATGTATAACCTGTTTCTTCCCAAAAGGCTACGACCAGATGTGGTCAACAGTTTGGTGAGTGGATCCTCCCCCAGACCTTTATCTGGAGTTTGTCTTCGTCAATCTATAGCTCCATGTTCCCTCAGAACACATCTTGAACCCGTTTCCTCAGTTAATCTATAGAACCCATCTTAAATGAAGATGTCACATGTACTTTACAAAGAGTTTTGATGTAGTGACATCTTCAGCTTTGTTGTGCACACAGGATTAAGTTAATTATCACCAAGAATTTTTTTCACCAATTTGTGATATGCTTAAATATGCTTAAAATAAACTACTCGGGGTCAGACTCTTGAAGTTTGAACCAACACCAACCATTGAGCTGTGCCGAACCAAACTGCCGTCTTTTCCTCTGCTGGCCAGGGGCCATGTTTACAAAGACCCACAGAAACAGATGAGGATTATTTTAGATCTCTATGTCCTAGTATTCTCTCTAGGTTACTGAATCGCCTTCTTTCAAACTTAGCATCCTACCAAACGTCTCATGTTTCTGGCACATGAACTCCTTGCCTTTTAGCTTGATTCTTTTCCGTATCTTTACTTTGTATATCCTTACCATAATGTAATGCCTGCCCTTAGCTCTACACAAAATACTCCTAGCCATCATTCTAGAGCTTGCTCAATGTTCCTTCCCAAGTGTGACTTTTCTAGTTCTTTATCCCCACGTCTCCCTAGACCATGTCCAGTTTATGAAGTGATAGTAACTCAGGGTTTCAGGTATGCTAGACAAACACTCTACCAACTGAGCTATATTTTTTGGCCCTTATACACTAATTTAAATATAATATTAGTGTTTTTATCTATATTTGACTTTATTATATGATATATATAGTAACCAAGTAACCACAATTTGAAGCTCATTGTTAATTTTAAAATTATTTTATTTGGCTGGTAGGTGTTGGTGAACACCTTTAATCCCAGTACTCAGGAGGCAGAGGCAGGTGGAGCTCTGCCAGTTTGAGGCCAGCCTGGTCTACAGAGTGAGTTCTAGGACAGCCAAAGCTACACAAAGAAATCCTGTCTAGAAAAACAAAACCAAAACCAAAACAAAAACTTATTCTATTATGCATCTGTGTGTGGGTATTGTGAAAACTGTTTCCCTAACAAAAGTAGCTGGTCCAATAAGGACCCATGTTATAGACCCTGGAACCTCCCCCTTTGTAACAATTAGCCAATCTTGCCAGATTACAAAATCAAGCTCCAACCTATGTGATGAGTTACAGTCAGCACCTATATGAGGGATAAGACAGAAGCCATCTTGGCAAATGGTGCTTGTTAGCTCAGTTTGGGTTCAAGTGCACCAGTTTTAGAAAATACATGGACACACTTCATGTGATCCTTTGTTCCTCGGTTCCTTAAGATGAGGTTTTTCTGCTCTCTGTCTCTCTCTGTCTCTCTCTGTCTCTCTCTCTCTCCTCTCTCTCTCTCCCTCCTTCCTTCCTCCCTCTGTTTCTAAGGGTATGGTCACATGAATGCAGGTGCTCAAGTAAGCCAGAGACATCCGACCCCCTTGGAACCAGATTACAAGGCGTGTGTGAGCTGTCTGGCACGGGTGTTGGTAACTATAAGCTGTTCTCTGTAATAACAATGTGTGCTTTTACTGTATGTGTTCTTAACTGGTGAGCCATCTCTCCAGCCCATCCTTATTTTCCTGGAAGTTCTGGGAATTGAACCTAGGACCTCACATATGCTAGGCAGGTGATTTACCACTGAGCTATATACCTAGTTCTTTATTCTAAAGAGAGTGTGGATTATGTTTTCATTGATGTAAATCAGTGGATAACCTCAGAGCATATGTCCAGAAAATGCCCCCTTTGCCACAAAAATAAAATGGGTTAACAAATCAATTTTTTGGGGGGTGAGGTTACACAGGGTTTCTCTGTGTAACAGGCTGTCTGTTTTGGAACTCATTCTGTAGATTTGGCTGGCCGTGAACTCAGAGATCTGCCTGCTTCTGCCTCCCAAGTGCTGGTATTAAGGGCGTAGGCCACCATGCCGGGCACAAATCAGCTTCTTATTAATTAATCTGAAGCTGGGACTACTGTGGGTGAGCACCATTATACATCTGTTAAAGAAAAAAGAAAGATGAGCAGGAGGGGGAAAAAAATAAAAAGAGATAGTCCAGGATTGGCTGTGATGGTTCTCTGGCCTCTGCTCTTAGGTGTTGTCTGCCCCCTACTGCCTCTTTATGGCCCAAGGATGGGAAGCAGGGACTTTTCTATCTTGTCACCCTACTCTCTCCATTCCTTACTAAAGAGTTCAAACAACCTGCACAGCAATAAAGGCTCAGTGCCCACAATCCCAAAACATTTAATTCCTCCCAAGATCGCAGTTCCCTGGTCCCCTCTGGTACCAAACAGCTCCACCCTTTCAGGAATCCCACTCCAACCAGGTCTGGGCACTGAGAAGAATTTTTGCTAGACTAGGAGACTCAAAGTGATCAAAACTAAGAATCTCTAGAACAATAACTGTCCCGTACACGCCCCCGGGGTCTCGCAGGGTGGGATGCTACGGGCGGGCGGCAGGGAAGGCTCCGCTCACCTGGGGCGTGGCCGTCGGAGGTCTTGGGGCCATTCCTGCCTCAGTGTGTGCTGGCTACCGTCCAGGGCTGCGGAGAGAGGACAAGATCCACTCACCCTGCTACCCCGGGGCCCCACCCTTCCAGTCCTACAGCCGCTTTAGCCTAAATGGCAGGGAGGAGCCCGCCTCCGCCAGCTGCTCCCCCAAGGCCAAATGAAAGGCCCCGCCGCCTCGGGACAGTCCCTCCGGCCACGCCCAGTCCGCCCGCAGGATGGTGGGCGAGGCCGGGAGGACAGCCTCCTACCCACGGCACTCGGAATCACCGCTTCCGGGGCTTCGGGATCCGCGACCGCGGGTCCGCCCCTCTAGCGCCCGCTGCAGTCTCGGTTCTCGGCGGTGCCGTTCCGCGTGAGGTCCAGCTTCGCAAACCGGCCTCCGCCACCACAGGGCCGGACAATGGCCACAGCGGCGGGCGCAGAACCACAGTGCGCCTGCGCAGATGGAGCCCCGCGCCCGCCCACTCGAGACCCAGGAACTACAATTCCTATCTCATCCTTGCGCGCCCTCCTTGCAGAGGTGCTCCGCTCCCTAGTGGGCGCTGTAGTAAGAGCACGAGTAAGCGGGCAGTGGTGGCTTCAGTTTTTGTCTTGGGTAGTTGTGGGTGTGTGTGTCTGTGTGTTGACTCCTTTCTGGAGCTGCTATAATTTTGCCTCATTCCATCTTTCTCCCAGATCATCACTTCTTCCTTCCTTCCTTCCTTCCTTCCTTCCTTCCTTCCTTCCTTCCTTCCTTCCTTCCTTCCTTCCTTCCTTCCTTCCTTCCTTTTGTTTTTGTTTGTTTTGTTTTGTTTTGGAGGACAGGGTTTCCCTGTGTATCCCCGGCTGCCTTGGAATTCACTCTGTAGACGGGGCTGGCCAAGAACTCACAGAACCTGCTGCTTCTGCCTCCGGAGTGCTGGTATTAAAGGCTTGTGCTCCCACTCTTAGCCCCCACTTCTTTTTTCAAAGATCTTGGTTGAGATACAATTTATAGACCATAATATCATAGAGCTGAACTCTTCTTGTAAGACACACACCTATAATCAATCCTATGGCACTCAAGTGACTGGAAGCTCCAGAGTTCAAGGTCATCCTCAACTGTGGTTCAAGGCCAGCCTGGGCTACAAGAGATTCAGTCTTATAAGGCCAAATTAAAGTGATAAATAATGCACGAATGAATGGACACATTAATAACCCACCATTTCTTAGTCCAACCCTCAATCCTGGGCAACCACTGACCTGTGTTGTCTCTGTAACAAATCTGCCTCTTCTGGATATGTATGGGATCCTCTTATGATTGGCTTCTTTAAATTATCATAATAGTTTTGAGTCCATTCACATTACAGAACTGTCAATATTTCATTCTTTTCTTATGCTGAATGGGCACTTTGACTGTCTGAGCATACCAAATTTCATTCATCAGTTGGCATTTGAGTTGTTCACATTGTAAGGTTTTATGTTTTTATCTTCAAAGCAACATTACTGTGGGTATGTACATACTTTTATGGGGTGCTGTTTCATTGTTCTTGGGTAGATACAGGATATTTGGTAGCACTATGTTTAACATTGCAAGAAACCGAATTTGTTTTCTAAAGTGGCTGTATCATTTTACTTACCCACATCTGTTGCTATCTGTCGTTTTTTATTACAGCATTATGTGGATTGTGTAGGTGTGTGTGAAGGGTGGAGGAAGTAGAAACAACAACAAACCCCTTTGAAACTATGCAAATATTTTCCACACTAAACAACAGTAGCAGATATATAGCCACAAAACAGAAGCTCAGTAAATCCTAAATGATTCCTAAAATAGAACTTTCAGTAGAAGTACAAACACAGGACCAAGAAGATGCAGCTTGTCCCCAGCACTGGCAGCAACAAGGCCCACAGGTAAGGGCACATCTCAAGGCCAGAGCACCTCCCTGGGGACCCCAACACAAGGCGAGGATTCCCAAGTGACATGGAGAGACCTAAGAGTAAGAATGTGCCCAGGTCTCTGGCGCCCAAGAGCAAAACAAGAATGGAACAAGGTGGTGAGGAAGCACACCACGCCAGTAATCCCTGCACTCAGGAAGTGGAGGCAGGAGGATCAGAAGCTGCACAGTGAGGTGAGACCAGCTAGAGTTAGTTACTGGAGACCCTGTCTCAAAACCAACCAAAGAACCAACCAAAACACTCACCAAAAGAAAACAATCTAATCCTCACCAAAACAGTTAAAACCATGTAAAAGATCTATTTTTAAAAGCTCATGGTAGTTCATGCCTTTTATCCCAGTACTGGAGTGTGTGTGTGTGTGTGTGTGTGTGTGTGTGTGTGTGTGTGAGCTGGAAGTTGGACAACCCTTGGGAGTTGGTTCCACTTTCTATCATTTGAATTTGAATTCAGGTCTTCAGCTTTCACTGCAAGTGCTTTTACTGATTGAGCTGTCTTTCTGGCTCTGTGAAGTTACTTCTACTCATTGTTTTCAAGAGTGGAAAACCGCTTCAATTTGTGCATTTTAAAGGCTACTGTTGGCTGGGTGTAGTGGTGCTGCACCTTTAATCCCAGTATTTGGCAGGCAGAGGCAGGTGGGTCTCTGTGAATTTGAAGTCAGCCAGGTCTACAAAGTGAGTTCCAGGACAGGCAGGACACAAAGAGAGACCCTGTCTCAGAAACAAACAAAACAACAAAACAAAACAAAGACTATCGTTTATAATGCCTGAAGTTGCAATAGGAGAGGCACCAACTAGACCCTTCAGTGGTGCAAAAGCCACATTCATGGCTGGGAGACAGTAGAAACTCATGCTGGGAGGAATTTATTGGTTCTCCCTCCCTGAGCTGTCCTGCTCAAGGACCGGAACATGGTGTCGAAATGTAACTTGTCTCGGTCCACTGCTGGCTGCTCCAGTGAAGGTCCCAATCAGGTCCTGCGATCTAGGGTAAGCTTGTGAGCAGGGACTCAGGGTTCTGGGCTTTCAGGCGCATTCCATGCTCTTTGCTCATGGTCCAGGCATGAGTCTACAGAGCCAGGATCCTAGGATGCTCCTAGCCACAGGCTCATCCAAGGGCAAGTGTGGTTCCACCCTGGTCCCTGGAGATAGGAATCAAGCCAGCAGTTATTGTCTGGTCGCAAACTCATGATTTAAGGAGCCGACCAAAGAGAGCATGTGTTCCCAGCAAGTTCAGAATGGTGCATTCACTACATTATCAGACTTCTGGCCAGTTAGAACCTCCCAGGGGCTGTCTCTTTGACAATGGTGTCTCCATCTGCTTCAGATTTCTGGGTTTTGAGGTAGAAAAGACAGGATACACTAGGGACACAGAAGAAGGACACCAGGTATTCCAGAAGTGCTCTCCTTCACCCCCATCCAGTGCCCTAGTGGGCAAGAAGCCACCCCTTTCTGCTTGAGAGGAGGATGCTGGACTCAGTGTGACCCTGTTGCAGCCAGGGGAAGCTAAAGAAACTAGCTAATAGTACCGGATGCCTTCTTCTGCTCCGGCTGGAAGATAACAACCAGGACCACTAACTAGGTCCTCAGTTGCACACTGGGTCCCCAGTGGGTTCAGCCTTCTGCCTGAGATCCCTTGTAGAATACAAGAGAATTCAAGAAAACTAGCAAGAGGCAATGGGACCTCACCTCAGCCTTGTTATGAAAACCTGTGAAGAGAGAATCCCAATCCCTGCCTGTTTACCTGCACACAGCAAGACACCAAGTCATGAGGATACCACTGGGGTGCTGCTTGGGGACTGCACAACTTCAGCATTCCTCATCTGAGGTATAATTGAAGCCATCTCATTGAGGGGCCACTCTGGGTTGTTTTGGGGGAAGTAATTTTCCAGCTCCTTCATCCCCTCCATATAGTTGCAACTAGCTTGAACTCATTATATAACTCAGGCTGTCCTCAAACTCCTGGCTATACTCCTGCTTCAGCCTTGAGAGCGGTGGGATTACAGGAGAGAGCCACACCTCCTTTGCCCTGACCCTAAGGCTTTATAGCCTTCTCCAGATCACTGGCCTCCATCGCCATCTGCTGGTCACTATGACACACACACTACTTTTTTTTTCTGTTTTAAGGTTTCTTGTTACCTTGACAAGTTTGTTCCTGCCAGAACAAAACCTGGCATTTTACATACATTATCTTAATTTGAATTTAAGAACCCATGAAAATAGATTGGGGTTATAGCTCAGTGCATTATGCCCTAGGTTCAATCCCTGGTGTGGGGGGAGGGGTTAAGATAGATGTTCTATCTGCACTGTATGTATAAAAAAAAGCTTCAGAGACTATAAGCCGAATATAAGAAACTTACCAAACTACCACATGTCACATATGGAATCCAAATGACTTATCTCCCAGTGCTGTATACTCGCCCATGTGACAAGTGAGTTCCTGGCCTCCTACCTGCCTAGGCTTAGCGCATTTTTCTTAAGGAAGATTCTCGTGTCCTCTGCACACCACCCACCAATTTCCGAGAAGAGCTGGGCTGGTGCTGAGATCAGTCTGCTTACTGACACAGTGCGGGGTGTCACAATGATGCTGAGCTGTAAACATGTTCCTTATCCCAGTAGATTCAAGGATCAAACTTTTATTAGTTAACATACATTTTTGAGACCCAGTCTCCAGAAAAAAAGGAAAATTAACAGGGCTATAATTCAATAGTTGAATATTTGCCTACTGAACACCACAAAAGAAAAGTTTTTTTTTTTGAGACAGGGTTTCTCTGTGTAACAGCTCTAGGTGTCTTGGATCTAGCTCTTGTAGGCCAGGCTGGCCTCATACTCACAGAGATTCACCTGCCTCTGCCTCCCAAGTACTAGAATTAAAGGTGTGTATGCCACCACCACCCAGCAAAAAGATTCTTAAAGAACATGTTATTAAACTAGGACTTCCTGTTTTTGTTTGTTTTTATTCAAAGTTTCTCTACATAGGCCTGGCTGTCCTGTATCTATGTAGACCAGGCTTGCCTTGAATTCACAGAGATCTACCTGCCTCTGCTTCTGCTGGAATTAGAGGTATGCACCGCCATGCCTGGATGTTTGTGTTTGAGACAGAGTCTCCTGTAGCTCAGGCTGACCTCCAACTGGATGTGTAGCAGTGACTCACTTTGAGCTCCGAGTGCTCCTGCCTCCACCTTCTGAGTTGGGATGACAGGCGTGGGCCACTATCCTGACTTGTTTTCCTTCCTTCCTCTTCAGCTGTGTGATCATCACCAAGTGCTTCTCTCTTTCTGAGTTCCTATTTCATCTGTATAATGAAGGAGCTGGTCTGACTGATGGAAAACCACATTTTATTTTTCTCTCACGCTTGCCAAGAAGATGTGGCATACTGTGAGGTCATGAAGGTAAGCCAGCTGTTTGTTTTGTTTCTGCCTGATTCTTGCTCTGGACTCACAGATTGCCTGGAAGTGATAGCCATCCTCCAAATGTCCCAGTTGCTTGCCATGCCTCTGGCATTCTCCTTACTTCTGGACCAGTGTCGTGGGGAACGGCAGCATTACCATGGTGACCCAGGGGCTGGTGTAAGCTTTTTGGCCCCCTAGTAGACATCTTTGGACTTTGCAGGATGTGCTGTTCTCATTTCTCTGTTTAAAGAGGTGGATCTGGTAACTGGGCCCCCATACCTCTTGTCACTGCTTTGAGCCCTGGTTCCAGGCTCCTCCTGTTCCAATCCTCTAGCTGCTTGGTTTCTCCACTTGGGGTCAGGCTTCTTGCTTTGCTAAGAAAGCAAAAGTTCCCCTTTCCATTCAGAGTTCTGGGAATTTAGGAAGGATTGTCACTCAGGAGGCTTACAGAATCTCTCTGGAAAACATCCTTTCCTCTGACAGGTGCCTCTAGAAAATCTAAATTCAGGTCTTAGACTCCAAAAGTACTTTTCCAGAATACCTTATTCATCTTTGGGAGAAGATCCCATAGACAGGAGAGGATCCAGGAAGCCACATGTGCTGTGTGTATGGGGGGGCATCTGCTAAACTTGAGAATCAAGAGGAGAAAAGACCAAATCCAAGATTGTCTAATTAAAACAAACTGTTCTCTGGGGGTGAATCCGGGACTGGTCATCCGGCTGTCTCACCCTAAATTGGGATTTGAGAGAGCAGCCCTGCAGGCCATAGTCTCTTGAGGCCCCTTTTATAGGAGAGATTAGGTGTTCACAGGGGCAAGAGAGTTGGCTGTACATACTGTTAGAAAAATAAAAGAAATAAAAGAATAAATGAAAAGCACAATGAAAGGGAAGGAACAAGGGTAGGGATATGAATGGGGTCACAAGTTTAGTGTAGGCTGAAAAACGTATTTTGCAGTTTGCATCAGATCTAAGAAACAGGAACTTATTCTTAATTACAAGTAGAAAACTTAACTTGCAAGGACTTAGCACAGGATAAACAGGAACTTATTCTTAGCTGTCTTAACTGCAATCAGAACCCTTAACCTGCAAGGTACGTTGTTCCTGTTTTGGTCTCACAGCATCGTTAGAGCTGGGTGTTCTGGGCTTGGTTAGGAGGTAGGGAGGCATACCACTAAGACTGGGGGTGGGGCGTGACAAGGCTGACGATGGTGTGGTTGGGGAACACTACATAGGAGGAGTGTAATCCACTTGAGCCAGGCAGAAAGATTTCTTGAGGAGAGTGATTATCTGAATTGCATCTTCAAGGTTGAGGCTTACGTTAGGCACTGGGTGGACTGAAGGAGATCTTGTCTTTAGACTCTTCCTTCCTGAGACTTTGTCCCTCATTAGGGGCTCACTGGTCATGAATCTCCTTCCCTACCTTTCTTCATCTCTCCTTTTTCTGGCCAGTCTCTCCTAGCCCTATGATTGTAACAAGTACCCCAATGTTGCATATGGTACTGTCCCCTTGTCACATGTAGTCCCTTCTGTGCAGATTGCTCCTGGCTTAGTTGCCTATCTGGTGAACTTATTCATCCTTTAAGATCCAGCTTGATGGACAAGCCTTTCTGATACTATCCCACATCCTTTCCTTCAATCACATCAGTGCCATGAGCCAACAAGTGTTAGGCCTGGATGTAGTTCTACATTGCTACTTTCTATTCTGATATCTCTGTCTTTTCAACTGTTTAGGATCTCTTGTAGTCTGGCAGAGGATGGGCTGGCTTTTCTCAGCCAAATACATGGTGGTTGGTCAGATGTATGCATGCATGCATGCATGCATGCATGCATGTATGCATGTTTGTATGTATGTATGGATAGAAGCACAACTTAAAAAATACTCCAGCTGGGCAGTGGTGGCACACACCTTTAATTACAGCTCTCAGGAGGTAGAGGCAGGTGGATGTGTGTGAGTTCAAGGCCAGCCTGGTCTACTGAGCGAGTTCCAGGACACCCAGGGCTGTTACACAGAGAAACCCTGTCTCAAAAAACCAAAAGAAAAAAAGAAAAGAAAAAGGAGAAGAAAGAAAAGAAAAGAAATCCCTCCCAGTTCTGTTCCAGGACATGGTCCTGCAGGGATTTAGCCATATGTTATTAAAGTGAATTAAAATTTACTTGAAATAACCACAGACTCCCCCGCTCCCCTGAGCTTGCAATGACCAGATTACATCTCCTCCAGGCACAGAAGTTTGACATTTTGTTGCAAAGTCATTTTCTTCTCATTTCCTTATGTTGCTAAAATATTCTATTTCTCTTCACTTCCCCTCTGTGTCCCCATTACTCATATTTAGTTAAATTTATCCACTGCCATTTAATCATCTGAGATAGGTTTGCTGGTGTGGATGGTCCCTGGGCATTGCTTTCCCTCCTGAGACCATCTGTCTCCTCCTGGGCCACACTGAGAACAGAACAGACCCCTTCCCTTTGGGGACAGAGATTCTAGGATACATGTGAGCCCTGAGCTTCTTGCAAGGCCAACTTTGAATTCAGGATCCTCCTTTCTCCACAACACTCACTGACCTTCCCTTTCTCCAGACCCCTCTTCTGCTTCCTGGAACATGGTTGCTTTATTTTAATTTCATTACTTTTATTTAGTTAGTTTGTGGGTGGGTGAGGGCATGAATATGCCATGGAGGTCAGAGGATAACTTGTGAGAGCTGAGTCTCTCCTTCTGCTATGTAGGTCCTGGGGACTGGATAGAGGTCATCAGGTTTGGCAGCAAGAACCTGTAGCCACTGAGCCATCTGGCCTGCCTAGAACATTGTTTTATTTTGTCTCCAGATCAAGAAGTTCTGGTATCCTTTAGTCACACAGACAAAGAATCACAATTCTTCTCTGAATAGGTTTAATCAGCCTCCAATGGGAGAAAATAGCCAGCTGGGCAGCAGAAGGGGGTGTTGCTGGGTGGCTGCTTGAGACACTGTCACACCAGTCATGTTCCTTAGCAGGCAGGGGCACCTTCTTCTTTCTCACTCAAGAGACTTTATTATACCCAGAGACATCTGGAAAAGGCAAGAAATTCATGTGTTAGAAAGAGAGGAGTCCTCATTTGATCTCTCATTGTGTCCCTTGGGGGCTTCGGGACTGTACCTGGGAACTCAGGGCTCAAGACTCTTCAGAGCCTTGGGGCTCAGGAACAGCATCAATCCTACCTGGGCCCTGGAGGTAGGATGGACCCTGGGTGCTGCATTTGCAGAGTTCTGGGCTCTGTGTATGTCTGGAAAGTGGGTGCTGTAAATTCCCAACCTTGGTGAAGAATTTGCCCTTTGCCTCAAACTCAGGGAAAGGGTGGTGTGGAACTACTTGATAGAATCAAGTCATGTTTTGGGGAGCTTTAAGGATGCAGTGAATCCGGGACTATTCATGCCAGAGAATTTCGACATCAGAAGACAGGCTGGCTTCCATGGTCGAGTGAAGAAGACAGCCACACTGGGATGTGGCTGCATGCCAAGATCAAGAGTGACCTCTGACATGACAGAACCACCTTGAGGTCAAATTAGAATCTGAGCAAAAAGCTTCCTGGGCTGCTATGGTGATTTACACCTGTAAGATGGGAGTGGGAAGATAGTAAGTTTGAGAGCAGTATGAGATATAAGAAACAAACAAACAAGCATAACAAGTGCAACACACACACACACACACACATTGGCAGGAGAAAAAAACAGCAGCAGGAAGAAGCAGAGGGCATTGCTGTGCTGGGGCAAAGAAGAGTCATAAGGGGATTTGCCTTACATAGAATCAAGGAGCAAGGAAAAAGTGGCCCTAGCTAGGCATTGGTGGAGCACGCCTTTAATCCTAGCACTCAGGAGGCAGAGGCGGCGGATCTCTGTGAGTTCTAGGCCAGCCTGGTCTACAGTGCCAGTGCCAGGATATGCTCCAAAGTTACACAGAGAAACCCTGTCTCGAAAAATAAAACGAAACAAAAAAAAAAAAAAAAAAAAAGAAAGAAACAGTGGCCCTAGGCACATTCATTTCCATTTTGTTGATACCGTCTTATGTAGCCCAGGCTGGTCTCAGACTCACTGCATAGTTGAAGATGGCTTAGAACTTCTAATCTTGCAGTTTCTATGTCCTGAGTGCTGGGGACAGGCATTCACCTCCACATCTAGTGAACGCGGTACTGGGAACAGAACCTAGGGCTCTGTGCATGCTAGACAAGTACTCTGTGAGGTACATCTCTAGCCACCATGGAGTGGATTTCTAGGACAAAGAGTGTGGCAGGAAAGCTAACTCAGTGGCTAAGTGCACTGGCTGTTCTTACAGAAGACCCAGGCTTAATTCCCTTCATCCACATGGAGGTTCACAACCATCTGTTCCTCCAGACTCAGTGATCCTGTGAGATCTGATGTCTCTCTAATGGCCTTAGAGGCACTAGGCACACACCTAGTATATAGACATACATGTAGGCAAACACTTACTTATATAAATAAATTACCAAGCAAACAAATAATATTTTAAAAAGGACAAAGGGAACTGATAAAGTATTTTGTAGTTATGTTTTATGAGTCATATTTGTTTTGTTTTGTGAGACAAGGTTTTCTGTGTAGCCCTGACTGTCCTGGAACTCATTCAGTTTGGCCTCAAACTCAGAGATCCTCCTGCCTGTGCCTCCCAAGTGCTGGGATTAAAGTCATAGGCCACCACTGCCTGACTATGAGTCGTCTTTAGAGACCTTAACATATATGATCATATTTACATTTTTGTCTCTTTTTTTCTCTCTCTCTATGTAGTCCTGGCTGGCTTAGAACTCTTTATATAGACCAGGCTGATCTTGAACTCACAGAGATCTGCCTGCCTTTGTCTCCCGAGTGCTGGGATTAAGCATGCACTAGTCTCGGGCTCTGCAGGTAGAGACTTCCTTCTTGTTCCCCTCTGGAAATAGAGCTCCTGACAAAAGGCTTTGGTTAATGGAGTCTACTCAGGATGCTGAACGCAATCAAGAGCCACTACCAAGGAGACAACTTTCTAAAACGGTGCCACCAGCTGGGGAGTCTGGGAAGAACCTCCTGACTAGTGTCTATATGCCTGGTCAGACTTTGACTAGGCTGTCTGATTCTTCTATCCCCCTGAGTCACTCATGAAGGAGCCAAGAGTAGGGTGTCTCCTTAGTCGACGGTGGCTCTTGAACTGATTTGGTTAAACATCTCGAGCAGACACTGAGCCAGAGCCCCTTGGCAGGATCTCAGTTTCTAGAGAGGAACAAGAAGTAAGCCTCCATCTGCAAAGCCCGAGGCAAGTGAATGGTGCCAGGTCCAGTGTTGGGGAGCCACTGCCTGTGGCTGGACAGTTCCCAGGAACCCAGCAGGGCTTTCACAGCTGGGTTTCTCCTGGAGATTCTCTAGGATGCTTGTTGAGACACCCCACCCTCTATAAACGCCACTGTTGAGAGTTCTGTTTGTGCAGTAACTCATTCCTGATCAAGAAAGTCTAAAGCATTGGATATCATGAAAATTTTATAGTTCCCTAGATGTACTAGATTCTCCCTTTAAAAATATTTTATTCATTTATAAATAACAAATATTATTATTTATTTTATTTAAAAGCACACATTGTGTGTCTCTGTGTATGTGTTACAAGCCAATGTATGTGTGTCTGTGTGTTTGTGTGTGTGTCTCTCTCTGTGTGTATTATGGTGTGTCTGTGTGTTACAAGCTATGGCATGTGGGTCTGTGTGTGCCTGTATGTGTGTATGTGTCATAAGTCATGGTGTTTGTGGGTATATGTGTAGGTGTGTGTCTGTGTGTGATTATGTGTGTGGTACAAGTCATGGTGTGTATGTGTCTTTGTGTACCTGTATGTGTGTGTATGTTATAAGCCATGGTGTTTGTGGGTATATGTGTAGGTGTGTGTCTGTGTGTGATTATGTGTGTGGTACAAGTCATGGTGTGTATGTGTCTTTGTGTACCTGTATGTGTGTGTATGTTATAAGCCATGGTGTTTGTGGGTATATGTGTAGGTGTGTGTCTGTGTGTGATTATGTGTGTGGTACAAGTCATGGTGTGTATGTGTCTTTGTGTACCTGTATGTGTGTGTATGTTATAAGCCATGGTAGGGCCAGGTGGTGGTGGTGCACGCCTTTAATCCCAGCACTTGGGAGGCAGAGGCAGGTGGATCTCTGTGAGTTCGAGACTAGCCTGGTCTACAAGAGCTAGTTCCAGGACAGCCTCCAAAGCCACAGAGAAACCCTGTCTCTAAAATCCAAAAAAAAAAAAAAAGAAAAAAAAAAAGAAAAAGAAAAAAGAAAAGAAAAGAAAAAAAGCCATGAAGCCATGGTGTGTGTGTGTGTATGTGTGCCTGTAATTGAGTGTGTCTATGTGTATGTGTTACAAGCCATGGTGTGTGTGTGTGTCTATGTCTGTGTGCTTGTGTTTCTGTGTTGTATTTGTGTGTGTAATAAGCCATGGTGTGTGTGTACATGCCTGTATGTGTGTGTACGTGCCTATATGTGTGTGTTTGTGTATGAGTATTTGTGTGTGTGTGTGCCTGTATATGTATGTGTCTGTGTTACAAACCATGGTGTGTGTGTATGTCTGTGTGTTATAAGCCTTGGCGTTTGTGTATATGTGTCTGTGTGTCTGTGTGTCTGGGTTTCTGTTGCTGTGATGAACAAGTTGGGGAGGAAAGAGTTTATTAGGCTCACACTTCAGCATTACTGCTCATCACTGAAGGAAGTCAGGACAGGAACACAAAACAGGGGGGAGCTGTTTACTGGCTTGCTCGACCCATCTTCTTTTCTTTATTTATTATTAAAAATTATTTTCATTTTACATACCAATCCCTGTTCCCCTCCCTCCCCTTCTCCTGCCCCTGTCTTCCTCCTTCACACACCCCCATCCACTCCTTGGAGGGGGTAAGGCCTTCCTTGAGGAAGCAACAAAGTCTGGCATACCAAATTGAGGCAGAAATAAGCCCCTCCCCTCTGTATGAAGGCTGAGCAAGGTATCCCACCTTAGGAAATGGACTCCAAAAAGCCCGTTCATGTACCCTGGATATGTCCTGGTGCCGCTGACAGGGGCCCCCTCAACAGTTCAAGGCACATAACTTCACCCACATTCAGAGGGCCTAGTTTGATCCCATGCAGGTTCCCCAGCTGTCATTCCATAGTCCGTGAGCTCCCACTAGCTCGGGTCAGCTGTCTCTGTGGTTTTCCCCATCATGATCTTGACCTCCTTGTTCATATGATCCCTCCTCTCTCTCTTCAACTGAACTCCAGGAGCTCAGCCCAGTGCTTGGCTGTGGGTCACTGCATCTGCTTCCATCAGTTACTGGATGTAGGTTCTGTGATGACAATTAGGGTAGTCACTAATCTGATTAAAGGCCCGTTCAGACACCCTCTCCACTACTGCTAGGAGTCTTAACTGGAGTCATCCTGTGGACTCCTGAGATTTTTCTCTAGCACCTGGTTTCTCTCTAACCCCACAATGGCTCTCTCTATCAAGATATCTCTCTCATAGCTCTCCCCCTCAATCCCTCCCCCAACTTAGTCTTATGGAGTCCTCATGTTCCCATCCCCCATCCCATCCCTTCTACCCCTACCCCAGTTACCCAGGAGATCTTAACTATTTTCTCTTCCTGGCCAGCCCACATTCTTTTTTTTTTTTCCTTCTTTTTAAATTTAAATTTAAATTAGAAACAAGGTTGCTTCACAAGTCAATTCCAGGTTCCTCTCCCTTTCCCTCCCCTCCTCCCACGCCCTCCCCTCAACCCCTCCAATATCCCCTCATTTCCCCAGGGAGGGTGACGCCTTCCATGGAGGTGTCCATAGTCTGTCATTTCATCCAGGGCAGGACCTAGACCCTCTGGCCGGCCCACATTCTTAGAGAACCCAGGACCAGCAGCCCATGGATGGCACCACCCACCATGGCTGGGCCCACCCTATTGATCACTAAATGAGAAAATGCCTTACAGCTGGAGCTCAAGGAAGCATTTCCTCAGCTGAGGCTCCTTCCTCTGATGACTCTAGCTTATGTCAAGTTGACACATAAAACCACCCAGTACAGTGTTACAAACCATGTTGTGTGTTTGTGTGTGTGTGTCTGTGTGTTACAAGCCATGGTGTGTGTGTGTGTGTGTGTGTGTGTGTGAGTGTGTGTGTGTGTGTTACAAACCATGGTGTGCATGTGGAACTTTGAGAGTTAGTTCTCCCCTCCTGTCATGTGAGTTCTAGAGATCAAACTGAGGTCAAGTCATGAGGGATTGTTTGTTGTACTAATGGGTAATAGGTTATTCTGAGAGCACATCTGCTAAATAAATTTGGCTCTGACTCTAGTGTGCATCTTTTTGCTATGTAATACCCTGTACCACTTTAGAAATCTACAAATAGTCTCTGGCAATACGAGGACCCTTGAGAGAGGTAGCTCTTCCATGTCAAGAAGAACCTTCAAGCTCCAGAAGCTCAGCACGGCACCTTTATACTGTAGAAGCTGCTCGCTCTCAGTCTGTTATGGCGAGCAGCTTAAAGGAAACTGTCTGGTACAGACTCATTTACAGTAAGGGGAGAATGAGGCCACATGGGTTTTTCCTCGCTCACCCTTATCTGCCTAACTGCTGGGGACTCATGCCGTATGTTGAACTTGTCCTGAAAGTGAGTTTCTTGCCTTTGCCTCTTACTGGCTTTGTGGAACAGCCATCTTTGGGGAGTCCGGTGGACACGGTTCTGACTCAGAAGCATCTCTTTTCTATTTCCAGTGAAGGGTTTCAAGAAGGTGCTGAAGTCTGAGGCTGCAGCGGGTGAGTTGCCATGGGCCATGCCTGTCTGTGTCTAATTTGATGTGACTTGTTTCCCTGGCCACAAGAACTCAAGGCCAGGAATAAAAAGCACCAGGGGCAAAGGTGATAGCTCATTGTGCAGCCTGGTATGCTGGCTCTCAATACCCCCAGGGTTCACTCTTGGCCACCAGGAGCCTGGGAGGGAGCATATCCAAGAACTCATGGCGGGTGTGTACGCTGTGGGAGTTCAGCTTTGTTTATACTCAAAAAGTCCCAGGAAAACCTTCCCCTGAAACTGCCACCATCAGGCATTTATTAAGCTTGAGTTGACTGGGGCCAGTTCTCCTGGTTGGCTAAAATTGGCCTGAAAAATAGAGTAATTTGTGGTTGTCAGATCCTAAATTAAATGATTCGAATACTACTGTGGCTGATTAAAGGACTTTATTCAATTTCCTCTTGACCACATGTTCTTCGGTGAGGGCAGGAGAGACACTGTTTCTGGAAGAAATACAATGTTCGGAGAGAGATTATCTGATCTGTGGATGGCATTTATTAAATACAGCTCCCCCCTTTGTATCTCAATGAAATATGAGACTAAGGAGGGAAGAGGAAGTGATTATTATTTGTTTAACTGTGTGTAACTCTTCCATCAAGCTTTTGGGCACAAGTCTCCTCGGGGCACAAGCTGGGTATCTAAGAGAAGTGCAGGCACCCAAAAAAGGTATCTAGGCAACAGTAACAAAGGTCAGCAAATGAAATGCAAGAATGAGTCAATGAAGGGGAAAATAATCTGGGGCTGTGTCGGGTGGTCTGAGAGATGTCCACATCATCCCCAGCAATTGCAGAGCCCTCCCTTCTTGGGGACCAGGGCCCTAGGGAGCCAATCCAGAGACCGAGGACATGTTCTGGCAAACAAGGAGAGCTGGCTCGGAAGGTGATGACCTCCAGAGACCAGGAGACTAAGCACCTACTGCAGGAAGGACAGAGGTCACAAGACGTTCAGATTGCGGTGTCCTGAGTGGCAAGAAGCAGAAACTTCGAGACAGGAAAGGGAGACTTTGAGTAGAGGGGAGGGAATAGGCACACACGCACGGATACACCTTGGGGATCTAGGATTAAGGGCATGACCCACTGGCCCCAAATAGCCCTCACCCTGGCCTGCCTCCTGTTGCAGGTTCTCTCTAGCTTAGGCTCATCTAACAAACAAGCACAGTCCTGCATAAGGAGGCCTAAACAGGAAATGGAGGAGCCCAGCAGAAGACAGAATCAACAGACACTGTCAGCACTAAACACAGCAGAGTCCCGCTATCAGCTGTTTTCAGAGAGTGATTTATCTAGTCTCAAAGGCGACAGATGAGGCCAAAAGAGTGGGGGAAGGGAGTGGCCTTTGGGGGGTGGCCCACACTGGGGAAGAATCGGGCTCACCTCACCTGAACCACGTTCCTCTGACCTTTCTCTCCTCTTGCTTTTGTCCCTGGAGTGAAAGAAAGACACACAGACCTTAGATCAGCCGCCCTCAACCTGTAGGTAGCAACCCCTTTGTGTCACCTAAGACCATCAGAAAATGCAGATATTTACATTATGATTCATACCTGTAGCAAAATTACAGTTATGAAAAGAGCAACAAAAATTATTTTATGGCTGGGGGTCACCAAGGGTTGCAGCATTAGGAAGGTTGAGGCCAGACTGTCTTACTCAGGGCCAACACTTTGAGCCCTCTTCAAATTCCAGGCTCCTTCAAGAGCTATCAAGACAGCAAGCCCCTGGATGGACCCAGGAAAGGAATAAGTGTAATGGCATCCAGAATCTTGCCTGGCCCAAGGCTATATGAAGGATGAATTTATCTTACTGGATTCACTCAACTTATTGAATGAATGGTTTTAATTTACACGTTTTTTTTTCATATATTGAGAGTTGTTTCAAATAAGGCTATAAATTTTAGTTCTCACTGCTGGATCATATACTGACTCTGACGCTTATTGTGTGGCCACGAACAGGTCGTTTATCTTGTGGGTGTTTCCCTTTATTATCTATAGGCTCAGAGGGACTGACCCCACCCTACGACTGTTGGTGCTTGTGAGGGCTTGTGACAGATCCTGCCTATGAAAACATCTGCTTGAAGTTTCATAGGGCATTTGTTTTCATGCCAAACGTTTCTTCTTTGTCCTTGCCCATTTTTATGGAGGTCATTTTTCTAGTTGCCCTGCAGGAATAAACGCCAGGGCCCTCACAGGTCAAGGTTGCTCTCCTGCTCTGGTCCTCACAGCCTCCAGGGGGCGCGCAGGGCCCGCGCTGTCTACGTCGTAGCAGCCTGTGGGCGCTGGGCAGAGAGTTCTGGTTCCCCCTGGTTCACCTGGACTGACTGGGTCCTACATCCTTTTGTGCATTACCTAAGCACAATGGGTGAAAAGGAAACCAGGCAGGGCGGCTGGACACTTGTATGAAGAGCACAACCTTCTAGATGGAGCCCTGCATTGCCCCACCTTTGTTTGAGACTTGGTGCTTTCAAAACGATGCTGGATCATTCGTAATGCCAAGCTTTCCCCTCTCACCTTATACAACAGACCTTGCCAGCTGGAAGCAAGATTGCGTCCCAAGAGACACCTACTTCCGGCAGTCCTCTCTGGGGACATCAGGAACGATGTGGTAAATAAAGTCCTGAATTTTTTTGTATTAGCCAATGTCCTGCGACTCACTGTGGCCCTAAGAATCGGGGTCTAATGTTTGGAGATGGAGAAAGCTGTTGCCAGGACTCCCACCAGGCCAGCCAGTTGGGAGGCAGTGGCAAGAGGCCTTAGATGGTGACACTGTAAGTGAGGAATGGAAGAGGGGTCCAGATGCTGACAGGGAGGCACATGGGTGGTCACGGAGTCCCAGATAAAAATGAGGGAACCTCAAAATGCTGAGCTACAGACAGAGACTAGGTTTTTGGTGTGACAAGGATGTCACTCTAGGTCAAGTGTGGATGTGGGATGGGAGGGAGAGGCAGTGACTCAGGATGAAGGCAGGTTTTCGATGGCAGCGGAGACAAGCAAAGGATTAAGGAATGCTAAGTGTGGAAGAACCCCAAAAGCTCTTTTCATGATGACAGCCTCCAGAGACAGCACGGGAGGAGGACAGAGACACCCCAGGAGACTGGAAGCTGTGGTCAAGCAGCTTCAGTGAATCAGATGGCAAGGGCGCTGAGGGTGTGTCTATGACAGAAGGCCTCGGTTTTCCATCGTCGGGGCAGTGGGGCGATATGAGATGTCCCTTAGGAGGCGGGACTGTCTCTCTTAGCTCCACATGGACCTCGAGGCAGACGTAGGGCAACATGGCTCTCCCTGGCACCCTAATTACCACCAGCCTCTGTCAGGAAGGACCCATCTCCTGCTAGGAATCCCCTGCACCACGATGGGTGCTTTGAGCTAGTCACAACTCTGCCTGCATGCCGAGGAGCCCCCATGTGAGCACACTTCTGGAAGCACTGAGTGCTATACAGACCTACTGCTTGGCGTGTGGATCCCATTAGAGGGAACATTTTATCACAATGGAGGCACAAGTAGGTTGTTTGATGGTAATTGCTTTCCTAACCCTCAAAGAAAAAATGCATTGCAAACCCACCACAATTAACTAAAGTGGTCACATTCCTTTTTTTATTTAAAGCTATTTAGAAATATTAGCAGCTGACTTGGTTTCCAGGTTGTTGTGGTGTGGGTTTGTTTTTTTTTCAAATCCCATAAAGTATTGTAAGTGCACCAGGAGGGAGGAATGGAAAGATGTTTGCATTTTCAGCTCAGCAGCCAACCGTTGCTCAAATAATAGCTTCAATGTGTAACCTGGGAGCTTAATATCCTCAAATATTTATAATTATGCAGAAATAGCCCTAAGAACTGTTCAGATTACTCACAGCTGGATAATTATCTGCATCCAGTGTTCACAACCTCTAAACTGATTTTCAGAGTTCAAGTGCCCCTCTGTCACTTAGGGCATGGGTACTTGGATCTGAGGGTAAATCCTAACAGGAAAAAAAGATAGGGTAGAGAGAACTCTTGCTAGCATATTACAGTCCCTTCCCCTGCTGAATGTAGGTTCTCTTCTGTTTTCCCAGGGTGTGAAAAGTTCCGACATGAAACACCAGTAGAGACCAGCCCCACTGGTCATGGGGCAGGAAGAGCCAGTATGGGTTATAAACACACACGGGGGCCATTCGAACATTCTTAACAAACCCTTTAGTTAGCCCATGGATGAAGTCTAACATTCAAGAGTCCCTCCAGGGCTGGGGAGGTGGCTTCATTAATAAAATGCCTGGTGAGGACCTGAGTTCAGTCCCCTAGAACTGCACAAAAACCATGCTGTCACTGGGGACCCCTGGGGCCTGTTGGATGGGTTCTAGATTCAGTGAGAGACCTGTCTCAAAAATAAGGTACAGCAGCAGTGTGGTGGCGCACGCCTTTAATCACAGCACTCGGGAGGCAGAGGCCAGAGGATCTCTTTAAGTTTGATGCCAGCCTGGTCCGCAAATCAAGTTTTAGGACAGCTAGGGCTGCACAGAGAAATCTTGTCTTGAGAAGCTTTTCCCCCTTCGAAAAAGGTGGAGTGTCCCCCCCACTCAGGTGTGTGCTCTACCCCCCACTCAGGTGTGTGCTCTACCCCCACTCAGGTGTGCGCTCCCCCCACTCAGGTGTGTGCTCCCCCCCTCAGGTGTGTGCTCCCCATCCACACGCCCACCTGGGTCCTGAAGGCCTGGGCTGCCGGGAAGACATCCACAGCGGGGGTGGGCGGCTCCCGTTATGATGAGCAAAGGTGTGGCGGAGAAATGGGAGAGAAAGAAAAATGGAACGGTTTGCCTGCTGTGGGAAAAGGCAGAACGGAAGAAGCGAATGTGGTGAGAAGCAGGCTGATGGGGAGGACCGCTGGCCACCCGTGGCCATTTTGACGTCTGGGCCCCGGGCCACTGCCAAAGGACGTGTCTGGGTCCATGGGCCTAACACAGCCAGGGCCTGTGTGGATATCTATGGTCCATGTTGCCCCCAAATGATAGGAGATGTCATTCTGTAAATTTGTCTCTTATTGGTTGTTGAATAAAGCACTGTTTACCAATAGGGAAGCAAGATAGGTGGGACTAGGAGTCGAGGAGGATTCTGGGAGAGAGACACAGAGAGACACCATGTAGGTGTCAGAGGAGTAAGAGGTTTGGACCCTTTTCTCCAGTAGGAGAAATACTTATATTAATAATTATGGGTTAAATACTTAAGTCAGAGATAGCCAGTAAGAAACCAAGCAAATGGCCATCTGAGGGCCAGGGCTGCAGCTGGGGACAGTGTCTGGGTCTGTGGCCCTACTACAGTCAGGGTCTGTGTTGTTACCCTTGGCTCCTGTTGCCATCGAGGGCCACAATGATCCCCTGGGTCTGGGTTGCCACCTGGGGCTGTGTTAGTGCCAAGGACTGTGCTGTCACTGGGGCCATGCTGATCTGGGTGACTTTTACTGCCACCTGGAGTCATGGTGACATCCAGACCTGGACTCCTGCCAAGGACCATGTCTGAGTCTGTGGTCCTACTGCAGCCAAGGTTAAGTTGACATCTGCGGCTCCTGCTGCCACTGAGGGCTGTGTGGATGCCCGGGGACAGGTCAGCCACATAAATCCATGTTGGTATCCAGTGGCCATGCAGCAGCCCGAGCCATGCAGATCTGGGTGGCCTGTGTTGCTACCCAATGCCATGGTGATGTCCGGGCCAAAGCGGCAGCTGAGGACCACGTCTGGGTACGTGGTCCTACTGCAGTCACAGTCTATGCTGATGTCTGAGGCCATGCCAATGTCCGAGGTCTGGGGCATGTTACTGTCCGAGGGTCACACTGTAGCTTGGGCTGCACTGATCTGAGAGGCCTGCACTGCCATCTGGGGCCACGGTGACATCCAGACCCTGCTGCTGCCGAGGACCATGTCTGGGTCCATGGTCCTACTTCAGCTGGGTTTGGTGTTGTCACTAGAGGTCACATGGAGGCCAGAGGTTGGGCCCACAGCTGCTGCGTGGCCCGTGCTTCCACCCGGAGCTGGATGTCATCCAGGCCCCAGCTGCTGCTGAGGGCCATGTCTGGGTCTGCAGCCCAGCTGCAGCTGGGGTCTGTGCTGATGTCTGTGGCCTGTGCCACCTCATGGGGCCATGGGAACCATCAGAGATGGAATCTAAGGGCCGTGCTGAGCCCGCCCTGCCCCTTGCTGGCACTGGGAAAGCCGGTCCTGTCTCCCAGGACACTGCAGCAAGAGAACTAGCTCTGACCCTTACAGGAGAGCTGACCCCTGCACTCGGGAGATACGGCCTCACCACAGGCAAGGGAAAACTGACCCTGAAGACATGGCCATAGCGGAGCTGGTTCTGCCTTCTCTCCTGAGACAGGCAGCCCAAGGACCTAGACTGACAAGCTCAGGTACCACTCAGGCCCACAGCCAGGCCTTGGATTGGCCCACCCTAACATCTACTCCATCTAGGACCTGCTAGAGCTAGTGAGGGAACTGGTCCTGTGGAAACATTCCCTCAGGATCTTCATGATTCCGGGTGGCTGTGAGATAATCCAGAGGCATTTTGGTGAGGACCCAGTGACAATGGTGTTCCAGAAACCAGAGGCCTTGAACCAGACCAGTGACTCACTGCAACAAACAATTGCTGGTAGAGCTGATTGGATAAAAGGGTGTACTATGCGACATATAGCTCCCAATGCTACCAGGAGGAATGAAGAGGTACTGGGGAGGCAGGAAAGATGGAGAAGCGAAGATGCTTTGGGGCGTCTTTTTACATTGTATTCTCGTGTTTGTTTGCCTGCTATTTTTTGGTTTGGTTTGATTTTTAAAAATTTTCTTTTAAGGGGTGCTGCAGGGGTGAGGGGAAGGCATGAGGGGTGCTGGGAGGTGAATCAATAAAGAAGTTATGTTAAAAAGAAAGTGGAGAACACACACACACACACACACACACACACACACACACACACACACACGAGTCCCACCAGGGGTGTCCTATGAAGTCTCAGCTGTTGTCCCAAAGGATTCAGTGGTCAGATGGGCAGGTAAGGTGCTGTAGCCTCTGCCTCTGCAGGCCTTTGAGCGACACAATGCACACCTCCTGTTAATCTCTTTCCCTCCCCCACCTCCGGTCTCTCCTGCTGCTCTCTCTGCGGCATGCATATTTCCAGAGGAATATCAAGAAAATGGTTTTCCCTGCATAATTACCCGCCTCCTCCCCCCTCCCCACCTACACACATCTTTCAAAGTGGCAGCTTCTCTGATTTATTTAAGTGGACTCCACTAGGCACTTAGCAGGCAGGTTAATTAATTAAGGGAGCCTCTAGCCATGAGAACTCTGGTTACCCCTCCTCCCCCCAGACCTGCTTCCCCTCTGCTCACTTAGAGGTTATTCACTTGAGGCCGTCTTCCAGTCGCTGCTGAGCTGGAAGTACAAGGCCGTTTCTCTAGATAGGGTGTAGCCATCTGCCTGCTCTTCCTTCCAGGGGACTTAGGTTTCACCAGTAAGCATAGAAGCCAAAATAAAGTTCCTTTTTAGTGAGATCATTCAGCATTTTCTCCACTAGAACTCACAGGAAAGCAGCCAAAAGGAGCACAAACAATAGAATGGGTTGACGCATGTAATCAAAGAGTCCAGGGGGACCCAGCCAGGGTT